ATTAAAGTTTCTAACAAGTTGAATAATGTAGTGGATAAAGTATCTCCCTGTCTCAAGCCTTTTGCAACCATAAATTGATCTGATATGTGACCCTGCCAAGCAATTTCACACGTAGAATTATTTAGTGTCATTTTAACTAGCCAGATCAGTTTCTTTGGTATACTCAAATGCTCCATTGCTCGATACATTTTGACTCTATCGACTATATCATATGCTTGTCTAAAATCCACAAACAAAAACATGTCAGATTCATAACAAGTCGTTTGTATCTCCTTCAATGAGAAGATTTGGTCTACAGTAGATCTGCCTTCCTTAAAGCCGGCCTGATACTCATATAGGATTCTTTCCGTATAGCAATTTAGTTTATTTCTCTATATTCTTGCCAAGATTTTGTATACTGTGTCTAGTAAGGCTATACACCTCTATAGTTGTCACAACTTCAGTTTTGTCTCCTTTTTTATGCAGAGGGCATATGCGGGCCTCATACCACTCCGATGGCACTATTTCCTTTTCCCATACTTGTACTAGTAGCTGATATATTTTTCTTTGTAGTTGTTCTCCACACAAAACTTGATAATTTCTATGCATATGTCATTTTTACCAGGACTTCTGATATTTTTCATTTCTTGTATAAAATGTCTGGCGGGCCTTTTATACATTTTAATTGAGTTTTTTAAAGACATTTGGTGTTCTGTAGAAGACATGGTTTTGTTTAGACAGTGAGCGGAATTTTTTTTATTTTCTAATTACTTAACTTTAATCTTACTTAACTATGGAGTTTGCATTTCCAAGTGTATACTGCTCTTACACAGTCCGTGTATATGTTTTTTTTGGGTTTTTTATTTTTTATTACATCTAACCTACTACTATGTGTGCGTGTGTTGTGGTGTACGTTGCCAGGTGTATATTGCCCTCACACACCCCGGTGTATATTGGTGTTATATACTATCGTTTTAATCTCGCCAGACTGTGGCCGAACTGCTGCAGCCATCCAAACTCATCCAACCAACCATCTCTTGATTTGCAGACCATTATAATAATCCTGAAAGTTAAATACGCACAAGTAACACCGATGATCCTAATGGCACAATGGAAATCTGTTAATTATCGCGCCGGTGATCCTTGTGGCAGCCAATGTGTTAAACAATGAATGAATGAATAAATGAATTCATTGTTAATTGATTGAGACATTTTAATTGGTAAACATTTGTCTCAATTCTTTTAATTCTCTTGCAGGTTTACTAAATTTCTTCTTATTACTCTAGGTTCTGTTTTGTTACCATATTGTAGTTTCCTAAAAGTTTCCTTCTTTTCTACCGATTTTTTGTTTTACTTTCACCGAGCAATCTTTGTGCGTTGATAAACTACTTTACAGTTTAGCCAACCACGCAGATTTTCCTACATTTTTTTTTTTGTGAATTTACTTGGACCATTCCCCACCTAACCAAATATTAAAAAAATTAAAAATAAATAGAAATGAAATAGGTTCTATACTTAAGTTTCATCTACTGACTGTTTTTGACTCTAGAGCCACTTTTCTATTATAAATATCTGATTAAATAAAATGCTAACTACTAGCTACATTTTATAAATGAACTACATCAAAAACACTTTCGGTTTTTGGCTTTAAGTCGACATACTGTATAAACATCAATTTAGTTTTCACATTTTTGTCTAAATCTTATTGGAAAGTAGTTTCTAACACTTTATTTGTATAACAATGAACTCATTATACATTAAGTTAATGTCACATATTACATATTAAATGGTAATGTCTTAATAAGTGTGTGTTATAAGTCAGTAAGTAAATTATTATAGGCAAAGGTAAACAAGACAAGTACATAAATAATCGTGTGCTTTATCTTATTGCTATTTAAATGTCAAACTTGTAACAAATGATTTTAATTGTTATAAGTAGGTACATGTAAATATGTAACAGAGTATCTATGAACCATGGGAAAAGTTAATGGTGAGAAAAATTGATGTTTTGTATTTGCTAATTATAGATATAGGGCGAGTTTTTTAGTGAGACATCGGTCCCATTGTAGTACAAGATCTTCAAAAAACTTATTAGGAAAAAATGTCGGCAATTATATTTTCCATACTTAAAAAATATGTGGAATTCTACAAGGACTACGTGGTATAGCAAACATACAATTTTTTAAACAGGACAGCTTATATATTTTTTTATATGTATATTCCTCTCATAATTCTTGTTCTTATAGTATTGGGTTCTGCATTACTATACAGAGTATTTAATAAGTTATGACCATTTTTATTTCGAAATCCCTATGATAGTCATCACCATGTAGGTATGTCAAGAAGTAATGCATAAACAATTATTTATTTTATATAGTAATGTAAACAATACTATTGTTGTTTTTTAAATTGTGTGTAATTGAAATCATTAACTAAAATTTGTATATAGGTTGAACTATAAAACAAAATTACGATTTTCTCAATTTTTTTTAAGGGATATATATTTTATTATACCATATATGTTATGTTTTAGAAAAATTATTTTTCTTCAAACATCAAATAATGATGACATTTCTTATCTAACTTGATCCTGTCAAAAGTTTGATGTCTCCGCGGCAGCAGTTTTTTTCCCCATTTCTTTTACGGCGGAGGGAAAAATGTTGTTATAGGCAACAATATGAAAACATTGTCACAAAGCAACAATACAAATGTCATTAACAACAATTAAACATCATTTTTATTTATTTTATAGTAATATTAATGGTACAATTAGTTAATAAGGCATTTTCAATAATTAAAACCGTGCATTGGTAATTGTTGATGATACTGATGGTCGAGAACAACTTTCAGCAATAATTCCGATGTTAGCGAATCATGAGGGTTTTAAAATTTTTTAGAGCATTATCGTTCTTATTTCTTATTGAATCCTCTATATATTCTTTGGCAACCGTGCTTGATTTCCATGACCCCTATGTCGTTTGAGGCATTCTAGATTTCCGCCTCCATCAGTTATTAAAAGTGTTGCTGAAGTTCGTCGTAAAGAGTGACCCGTGTGATGCGCTTGCATCGTTTAAAATTTAAATAACTAGCTACTTTTGGGCTACTGCGCTGATTCGACTGTATTCTCATGACGCTTCGGTAACACTTTCCATTTTGGTACTTGATAACAAAATCGGTTTTCTGTGAAATTTTCAGGCCGCAGTTGATGCATACTTTTTCTACAGTTTTAATGTAGTTTTGACCAATTATCGTAAAAGATCTAATTTGTCGTGTTTTACTGTCTGGGTTGTTTGATAATTATTACATTTTCTTTATCCTCAATGTCCACAGTCTTCATTTTTACCATTTCGTCGCATCGACAGGCGCCGGTAACCCCCAATTAACAAAAACAATCTGAAATATTTTTATAATTTTAGTAGAGTATACTACATGCTTTGCAATATATTTTTTTTACCTTTAATCCTAAATACAACTTATCTGGCGCTTCAAACAAAAAATTATCAAACTCGTCTTTAGTTGAAAACTTTAGACTTCTTTGCAGTATATCCTTCGCTTGTTTTTTTTTTTTTCAGAAAGGCACGTACCTTTAAAAATTTGCTTATATCCACATATTACAGAAGGTATTCTTAAATTTACAGAAGGTATTAGTAAAGCCCAAGTCAGAGATAAATAACTTTTATTATAAAAGTAAGCTTGCAACTTATAATTTTACTATTTAGGATTTCAATATCAAAAAGGAGGCACGAATGAAATTGCAAGTTGTTTATGGATTTTTGGAAAGGCGCAAAACAAGATGGCATTTAAAAAAGTCGTGTCTTTCGACAATTGCAGAGGGCAAAACAGTAATGTTTTATTTTTTTTCGATGTTTTTTCATGCTTCGGTGACTTTTGTTTGGAATAACATACCGTTTTCTTGAGATGGGTCATACCCAGAACGAAAATGTCAGCATGCACGCTGTTGTAAAAGTTGCGAAGAAACGGACAATCGAATATTTATACTCCTGACCATGGATTTAGCCTCTTAAGATGGTAAAAGGTACTTCTCCACAGTATAGAATGAAAGAAATATCTTAAAAAGACTTTTTAATTTTAAACAAAATGGTTCAGAAATAAAACTGGAAGGGAACTAACACTGCGGAGGTGGTAAAAATAAGCAAAATTAGGAAAATTCACTTCGAACCGAAGATGTCCTATATAGATTAGTTTACTTACAGTTTTGCAGAAAATTACAAAGAACTCGACATCGCAACATCAAAATTACGTAAACCCCAAGAATATGAACTACCACGTTTATATCAAGGTATTGTACTAATTGGCAGTAAAAAATAAAATGGTCTATTAAGTTTATATAAAGTCAATTTGATACCAGCAATTTATCATGAATTTTATAACTCCCAGTGACCTGCTAGTGAAGACATTCTACCAGAGTTCTCTACAGATCAAGAAACTGGTTCCGAATCTGAACAACAGTGGTGTATTCTATTGAGTCGTTAATTATTATTATAATTAGTCTCATAGTGTTATTATAAACAAATTCTTAAAAATAAAATATTTGTTAATTTTATTTGTTTTATTATTGTAGTATGTTTTTATAAATGAAATTTTTGTCCACGAATACTATAGTAACTTTATTTATTAATTCATATACAAAAGTAGATGAATAAAAAACGTAGTACTGATAATTAAAAAATTGCAGAACTTCACTTTAAAACAATTATTTTTAAAACGCAATTATTTAGAAATGGGCGATTTTGAGTTACGACAGTTTTAGTTGGGATGGTCGATATTGTGCCCTTTGTATAATTGTAAAAGCACTAAAAACCATGTCGCCGGCCGCAATGACTACCCTGAAACACTTACTGGCCTTATGGGACGTACTTTGCGATGTCTGCCATATGCCATTGCTCCATTATTCTTCGTAAACAAAAATTATGTTCCGTCATATTTTACTTTTTTAGATTAGTAACCTATGTGACTTTTCAGGGATTTCATTTAACACATGCTTTCATCTAAATACTTACCCTTCTGCCTGCCTCATTGTTATGTAAATTCATAAGGACTCTGCCTTGCTCCCTCGTTCCTCTCTTAAATTTTCGTTCTCTTTCCCTAACATCTACAAAGCTTTGGGTGAATCTGAAACAGAAAAATAATTAACGAATAATTATTAGTGGGACGGTTGAAGATTTCGCAAAATTTAGATTGTTAGCAGTTAAAATTTGATTTCACGTATAGTGCCTCTACTTATTCGCTTAGATGTATTTCCTGCTAGCAGGAATAGTTCTTTTTCTTTTAAAGGTTTAAAGATTTAACAAAATATTTGTAAAAACAGTTAATCGTAGAATAGAATATACTACCTACACATAAAATTAATTTTCCGATAAAATTCTGTTCCATGCGCCACTGCTGTAATGATTTAACCAGCCTTCTGTGAGACAAGATTAGCGATTTGTCTCGGTAATAACATGACGTATGGACTGGGGTGGACATGACATTTATTACAGGGGGCGCTTAGCCGTATCAAATTGGAAATACTGCGAGATTCTAGAATTTACTATGATTTATGGCCTAAATGCGAGATTCTGGACCAGAAGGAATCAGGATGATTTAAATATAATTTATAGGATGAAATAAAGTTAGCTGGTGGTCGGTTGATGTTTATATGTGCATAATTTAATGGGATATCAGTAAATATTTCTAACTGAAATAAAAAGTTTTGAGTAGCTAATTGAACATTTAAAAGGTAAAATATAAAATACCGTATCAACTTTTTTTAATCATTTCAGGGATAACATGACGAGATGGTACACAAATGTAACGTAGGACTAGCAGTCTGCGAATCTAGAAAACGTCCAAAAAACAAATATTAAAAAAAAACGATCTAAGATCTTGTCGATTCTTTAAATTTATATTTCAAGTTGACAAAAAAAACATTTTCACACACATTTATTATAACTTGTATTTTAAACTCATGCTTTGCAAATTAAAGTTAACAGGCATATCTTTTTCATATTTTGTGTACTATAAAACCCTAAAACTCAAATTAAACAAATACAAAACAACTATTTCTAAGAAATTAAACAAAGACTAAAGAAAAAACAAATGTTTGAGATGCGCAAAGTAGATACATAGATACATGAACGGAACAAATACATTTTGCGTGTTTTAAAAACACCAAAATTTTGGCATTTTTGACAGGTCTATCTTTTTTTTTAATTGTCACATTGCCAGATTTCAGTAAGGGCCTAAGAAGGTATCCATTGAATTCTGGTAAAAATCGGTGGAGAAATCTTTGTTGAACATCTACGTCACGGAGCAAGACACGCTGGCTAAACTAAAATAAAAAAACCAAAAACTTATAAATAACCATACCTATTACCGGAAATCAGAAGTGTACTTCTCTTTATTCTTCTCACATATGTTTACCGTGTTTCTTTCATCCAGCCCATAACCCATTCGCCTCTCGAAATCTCACCTCTTATTTGCCCATCTCTGGCAGTAAAATGTGTTTTTTTTATGTAGGTGCCAAAACTACCATGTACGGTCAAAAACTGCGTCAGGAAGTAGTCTAGTTTCCTGAACTTACATTCCCACCACGGCTTCAGATCGGGAATAAGTTCCTTTGTCCACCTTGGCTTTCCGCTATCATTCGCTCATTCTCTTTCATTCTCAGCTATATTTCCATCCATTCTTCTCGCATACATCCTCGCTCGCTCTTTGCACAACAAAACAATCACCGTTCCCAAATACATATAGAGCCTCATTTGAAACCGTCCTATATGCGCTAGATACCCTGAGTAGCATTTGTCTTTGCGAAGTCTCCATCAGTTTATCGTATTTTGCCGTATTCAGTACACTACATTACACGGGGTTGCATAGGTTACCACCAACTGGAAAAACTCATTTATCACTTTCTTTTGGTACTACCTGGGCCTCCAATGTTTGGCATCAGCTGTATTAACGCCTCCAGATTTCGATTCACCTTCTCTACGTCTTTTGGATGAGTACTTCGAACGTTAGTTCTTCCGATAACCAAACTTCTAGATACTTAATCGATTTAACTGGTGCAACCTAAACACCTTCCACTATAAAGCGAAGATAGGATTTTTCCCGGCTAAGTTCAAGAACCAACACCTCAGTTTTCTGAGGCGCTAGAAGTAGATCGTTCTCTCTGATCCACCTACTAATGCGACGCAGGGTTAGGTTAGCCACATTAGCATGTCCATTTTCTGACTTGCTTTTGCAATCAGTGCGAGATCATCGGCATTAAGCTACAAAGAGTGCATCCCTTGGCATCCGTATCCTTAATACCCCGTCGTACAGGATATTCCACAGAATGGGACCTAGTAGTAAATCCTGTGGAACACCCTGCGACAAACTGATGCTGGTATATTTTTCTCTTATTGACCTGTCAGTATATGGTCAATGTATCTGTCAATTACATTGACCAGGTACTCACCAAACGCCCAATTATCTCAGCCTGAACATGATTTATTTTTCATGATACCGTGTTAAAGGCATTTTTTGACATCAAGCAGGATGAGAGCCATCCCGCTTCCAACCTTAGCCAACCTTAGCTTCTTTCAGCATTGTTGGAAAGTGCTGTTGTTCAAGCAATTTGTTCAGTAATCTCAAAAAAAACCAGCGGGTATCATAGTGCGGCGAGTCTTACTGTCTCTGACATGACTCCATATATGGCAGATGCCTTTTGGATCTTTATATGTCCAACAGCCTCGTCGAGTTCCAACTTAGTAAAAGGTTGTGCATCTACGACACCAAAAACTCTTTTACGCCCATCCTCCACCTGAGGAAAGAGTTTCCGTATTAAACGAAGTTTCTCTCCTCAGGCAGGGGAGTAGGGTGTCTTTTTTCCCTTCAATTCGATACAGACAATCTTGAAGCCCTGCCCATAGATATCTCTTTCGATATCCTGAAGCAGGTTACTTCACCTTTCTTTCTTAGATCTTCTTATCTCATTACTGTATTCATTATGCATTCGTTTTAATTCATTTATTCTTTTTTCCTCCTGCTTGTACTCTTCTTAAACTCTCACACTCTCTTCTTACTCTCATGCAATTTGTCCTCAGATTTTCAGGCTGCTTGTTTAACCAGTATGATTATTTTCTTTCATACCTCCCATTTGATTTTACACAAGTCAACTCCTGTACATCACTCAGACCCTCAATTAACTCACACATGTCCTCACATCCCGGACCAATCAAGCCAAAAACATCTACAATGTTTTATAACCAAAAACATCTACAATATCTTTAAATGTATCCCCATTTTTACGTTTCTGTCTTTTATTAGCTATTTGAAAACTCATATACTTGTGTAAGCTGAGCGATTCTTTTTCTAAAACAGTCCAGGTTGGCCTATTTTTTGTCTACTACAGTAAAAACAACGACCTCCACGATAAGGTTGTGAATTTGGAGCGGGAATTTCTTCTTCTATACAAAAAATTTCTTTCAGTCTTGACCTAATTGATCTAAGAATACGTTTATTCAAAATCGATATTGCCGATATTCGTTTACTAGTTCCATATCAAGAGCTTTGTAGGCATTGTGCTTTTCTAGGCATTGTAGCTATCCCATTTGAGTTATTTTTGTTCATTATAAAGGAATTGATACCAGCTACATCTATTGCAGAATAAAAAATGACCAATATGCATCAACACCAAAGAAGGAGTACATCAACTAGATTTACTCCTTCTTTGGATATATTATAGTCAATGATAATTTCTGGCTTGACCGTTAATTAGTCTAGCAACTCTTCGTGGTGCTTCGTTAAGAGTAAAGTAACGTTTTTGTTTTTTTCTGGGTATATACGACACAATCGTACATTTTTTTCTAAAAGCAAACATACTTGTTTTTTTTGGTCTCTTGATGGGTAAATTAACGTGAAAGCTTTTTTCTGTTTTTTCATAGTGTTTATCACAGTAAGTCAGATGATGTTCGTTCAAAAGAAGATCGGCCAAGCTGAGGCTCGTAAAAAAATTGTCCATTGTTACATTTCTGCGAGAACCAGACATAGGACTGCAGAGACAAGGAACGAGGGAAATATTGCTGGTATCAACTTTATATGAGCCGCGTGGCTGTTGTCTAACGTACACCTCTCGATTTCTGGTATAAGGAAACTTAGCGTGTACTAATGCATAAATTTTTATGCCGTATTTATTAGGTTTATTGAACATTATATACCCTACAGCCACACTTGCCACGAAAAGACCCAGTTTTTCATCTATCGTTGTGTATGCTGATAATGAAAAATGTTTAGGTAAATTTGAATAAACGCATCGAAGAGTTCTCTCACAGCTGCCAATTTGTCATATTTTTGCCTCTCTAATCGTATTATTTATCGTTAAAACGCATGTGTTTAAGCAAAAACCTAAACAATGCAAGAGTACATTGTCAATCTAAAAATCTTGGCGATGAGCTGTTTGTCCTAAAGAGATCTGCATTTCTGTGGTTATTTTTGGTTCCCTCGCTATATATAAAAGACCCAATAGTGCCCTAATTTTTAAATATATCTGTCTTTTAAACAGTTTTATTACTGAGATTGTAAGAACACAGTTCATAAAGATATTCGTGTTGTCTACAATGGTTTGCAAAATTTCCTCAGTAAAAAAAACTTTAAATCTTTGATGCAGTTTTCATATATCCTAAATTCCCTAGTTATTCCCTTCATTAAATTGTCACTGCGAGTTCGTATCGGCAGTTTCCTATATGTTTCTTTAATTTAGTTCTCCATCCTTACCAATAAAATGCGCCACTCTTTGTGGACAGTCAAGACTTCTGAGATTAGCTCCTTAATTTCTTTTTTCATGTCAGTATCGTAGTCCTGTATCTCTTCTTCAACTTCTGGTTCAAAATTAGAGACAAATTCCGCATAAATCTTCTTAAGATATGCTTTTCAAAACTCAAAATTTTATTTAAGGATTTACTAAACATATTTCCATGTTGGTAATAGCCAACGTAGGATAATTTTGATATGGCACGTGGAGAATCACAGCTATACACAATGTATACACAAACCTTTTTGTCTTTTGCAGCAGAATGCTGCTGAAATTAAAGTGCGAATTAAATATTACTTGATTTGTCTATAAAACACATCTCGTTATTTCTCTGTCAATACAAAAACAAACTTTTCCTGACAAAGTACTACTATCATAAACTTATTAGGGTACTATTAATTTAGGCCTCTGTTAAACTCTCGAAGATCACTTATTAGGACCAACTTAGGTGATACCAAATATATAGCAGTTCGTACTAGTTAATTTTAGAAGAAAAAATCCTAAAACTTTAGTTTTAAATTAAAATTTATCTGTCAATATATTTCAGTAAAACTCCAACATTTTTTTTATAAAACACTTACTTATATCCGTATTCTAAATTATCTCCGCATCCACCCCAAACCCAGTCTTTCTTGAGGTCCTTCGGCCGTCCCATTCGTGAGCATCCGCAAGATGTAAGCTGGCCATCTCGACAGGCTCTTGACACTGAATGAACGACTCCAGCAGACGCCAACGCGTGGGCAAATGCTGACTCCCTACTTGCTAAAACAAAAAGAAAGGTTTAGTAAAAATAACATAAAAAACAATCAGAAATTTTCTAATCAAATCATCAATAGCCATCAACATTAGCGAGATACAGCGCGTTTATTGAAAAATTTTGAAAACGACAGGGTTATATACCTTCTTTATTAAGAAATGTTTTAAGAAACTTTATTGGAACTTTTGATACATATATTTGGAAAGGGGTCTCACTAATGAGATATAATACCAATTTCTGTTTTTTTTTATATGGAATACATTTATATTTTAATTCTCTTTTACTTAATATGATAAATATAATTAAACTTAACAGTCTTCCGGATTTAACCGCGTCTATTATCATTGCACCGAGCTTTCGACATCCTCTTTAATGTCTTCTTCAGGGCTTCCAAGGACTCAATCTCCCGAACCTTCAGACACTATTACACTGATCACTAACCAATACTTTACTGCCACTGGGAACAGAGTTCGGCTCATTTATACCTTCGACGGTGACGTGTTTTGGGTGAAGTCAAACCTAAACTACTAACTACTGAAAAAATAGTCGTTAAAAATGATCACAAGCAGACTTTGAATCCGCGAATTACAGTGGTTTGAGTTTTTTATTATTTGTATTAGTAACATTATATGCTGGGTAATCGAGAAAATAAAAAACGTTTGCGAATCAAGATCTGTCGCATCTGTGTGAGCCTCTTTGATCACGCGTCTATGTGGAAGCGCCCTTTGAAAATCCCGCAACATAAAGTACGCAGTGTGATTTGTTTTTTAAATCAAAGGATTTAATTTACGTAGAGTTTATGACCAGAGTAGACAATAAATTCAGAGTCCTTTTGCAAAACTCTTCTTTAAATACTAAAAAGTGCAATACAGAATAAACGACGTGGCATGTTATCGAAAAAGGTTTCTGATTCATGATGCGTCGGCCCCATGTGTCGGCAAGAACTCAACAAGAACTTCAACGTCTACAATGGGAAATTTTCGAGAATCCTTCCTTCAGCCCAGACCTAGCGTTTTCCGATTATCATATGTTTCCGGAACTAAAGTAATTCTTAGGTGGAAAGGTGTTTGGACATGACAAGGAGCTCAAAGATGTAGTAATAGGTAGTAAGAGCTCATGCGTTTGGTAGTAGAGCATTAAAACACCGGCATCAAATAAATACATATCTATCAAAATGAAAGGAGCAGAGACTGTCTATAGTTTTGAAAAAGTATCAGAATTTGAATACTTAGTGAGTATTTTTGTCGGAACACTATACTTTTCGCAATATTTTCATTTTTAAAATTACGACTTTTATATCGTTGGCATAACTGACATTTTCTCGTTATATCTTTCGCTACACAGTAGTCCTGTTTACATAATATAGTTTTCTCCAAACAAGGGCCAAACTTTTCGGCTGCCAATATGTCCATTTTCATTATGTAATTTCTCCATAATTCTCATTGCCAGTAACTGTATTATTAAATACAACTCTTTTCTCTCGATTCTCTTATAAAAAAAGGTCATTTTCTCTCCCTGCTCTGTTTTTTCCTTTTCTTCTAACCCCTTTTGGTCTGCACGTACGTTCTTTACTTTCTGGACAACCTAAGTAATAGTAGACCAGTGTCGAAGCCTTTAAAAAAGATAAAAAGTCAAAAAAAAATTATAGATAGAATGAAACCTATTGGAAAAGAAAGAGAATATGCCAAAAATGGAAGAAAAAAAAATTCCACCCATCCGAGGTCGGGAAGTGGGAGGGGGTGAGTTTTTAAGGGTAAAAATCGGTTTATCGCGATTTTCGGGCGAAACTACAAGTGATATGGAAAAAAGTTAAATGGCAAAGTTGTATGTAACAAAAAATCTACAACTTTTGTATTTACACTTTTTTCACATAACCTGAAAATTTTTGTGGAAAATTCAAAAAACTAAGTTTTTGATTTTTTATTTTTATCTTTTACAAAAAAAAATTATACGAAATTTATGAAAACTTGCCTTAGTATGTACCAAACACACTGTAATTTTTTGGAATTGAAAAATTTATTTTTTTACCTGATATTGATTTAATATCGAAAAAGCACCCTAATTTTCAATCGAAAATATCACGCGTCAAAATATCAGGTTTTTTTAAAAAGTCGGTAGGCTTTTTATTCATTGAAATCTCTACTTTCCGATAGTGTAAAAAAATATATACATCACTATGGAAAATGTTCTCAAAAAACGCAAAAAACGAAGAAAACTTGAATCGAAAAATTTTTTCTTCATCATTATGTACATTGAGATATTAAAACTACAGAATTACTTATGTTGCGTAAGATTTCATGTTTCATTGACAAATAAAAAAATTATAAATTGAAATATTCTACTATAATTAACAAACAATTTAGTTTAATAATGTCTATATTTGATAAGACATCTACAATAGTATAAGAAAGTTGTAGAATTTTCTTTTAATTAAATGCGTACATACTTATTTATTGCTATTTGAAGATAAATTATATACCTGAGTGACCTTCGGAAAATTTTAGTCCATCAAAATGTATTTCGTAAAGAAGTGGGAAAGAAGTTACGAGAGTCGGACTTACTACTACTACCTGCTACTACTACTATTTGCACTATGTCAAAAAATATTATGCAGCAGGGAGCCATTTCTTTATTCTCGTTGAATGAGCACCAGCAGCTCATTCAACTAAAAAAAGGAGAACGTAGTAGTAGAAAAACCTCAGACAATATTCCAGAGTTTCATTATCCAAACCATACTAAAATACCATTTTTGGTAAACAAGCAGAAGAAGATGCTGATGCTGATATAATTAAGACTTCGATCGAAATTGCCAGAGATACAAATAAAACTTTTATTCTTGTGGGTAAAGATATTGATCTTTTGGTCATTTTGATTAAATTAAATGAAAATAATAATGACATTTATTTTCTTAAACCAGGTACTGGAACTGTACAAGATCAGTTTTTCACGTCGAACAGTTTCAAATATGAATCTTGCAAAAATATCATTGCATTTCTGCATTGATTTTCAGGTTGCGATACAACATCTGGATTTGCAGGGAAAGGAAAGAAAAAGTATCGTAAATTCATTATTAGACGCTAAAAATTTGCCAAGTTTGGCTAACATTTTTTATGAAAAAGATGCAAATAAACAAGATATCGCAAAAAATGGATTACAATTAATCAAATTTGTGGTATGGTCACGTGAAAACGAATGAATGAAGATAGATGGCCAAAGGAAAGCTTTAAATTACATACCACAACAAAGAAGAAGAAGGGGAAGGCCTTCAGTTGCCTGGGAAGAAAATGTACGGCACATAATGAGAGATAGAGCCATCAGAGAAGACGAATGGATGGACAGAAAACGATGGCGGTCGAAATGCGAGAAACGGCAGAGGCTGTAGGAACCTCGCTTATATATATATATATATATATATATATATATATATATATATATATATATATATATATATAATATTATATATATATATATATTATATATATATATATATATATAAGAGTAAGCAAAAAAGAAGTACTTGTGACTCGTTTGGAAAAATATAACACTGTTTTTGATGGGTTGGAGTCAATAAAAGGGGCTATTTGTTGACTATTTTTTACTCGAGCTTTCAATTGTGATTACAATTTTTATCAAGAGCTTCTAAAAAATACAAAATGTCTTACAAAATCTTATTTTCTAGTTCAACTTTGTAAGACATTTTGTATTTTTTAGAAGCTCTTGATAAAAATTGTAATCACAATTGAAAGCTCGAGTAAAAAATAGTCAACAAATAGCCCTTTTATTGACTCCAACCCATCAAAAACAGTGTTATTATATATATATACTATATATATATATATATATATATATATATATATATATATATTAATCAAATTTATTTATAAGTGCAAAAATTATAAGCTAACGCTGAATCAATTACGATTTCAAAAATATCAATTGGCAAAAATCAAATCATCTTTCGTATTGGCAGATCTCCCATCCACAGAAGGTGCAGCAGAACAACATTGTTACAGGGCATATTATCAGCTTCAAACATGGCTGGGCAACGAACTGACAGCAACAGATTGGGGCTGGAAACAACATCAACAAGGCATTATGTCCAAATTTACAGAAAAGGAATTAATCCCGGAAATACTGTTCAAAAACAATTTGCTGTAGATATGAAACTGGATGTAACAATTTAAAATGTGGTTGCCGAAAACATGGTTTGAAATGCACAAATTTATGTTCAAGTTGTCACGGCTCAGAAAAATGCTCTAATGTGGAGGAAAAAGCCGACGAAGAAATTAATGATAATGATTCTGATGAAATTGTGGATGAGGAAGTAACGCAGATAGGAAACAATATTGGAGAAGAAGACGGTGATAGTCTTGAAGATTTCGAAGATCTTCTAGAATCAGAAGATTAAATGTCATCAGAATACAATATATAATATTATATTATATATAATATATATATATATATATATATATATGATATATATATATATGTATATATATATATATATATAAATATATATATATATATATATATATATAATATATATATATATATATATATATATATATATATATATATATATATTGTAAGATTGCCCATGACAAAAATGTAATTAAACATTAATAAATCAGCTTTTTAATTGTAAAAAAAATCGAATAGCAGTCTTAATATTTTGTGGATTTATAATTTTTTTGTTTATTAATGTATCATGAAATCCTAAACTACATTACTAATTACAGTATTAATTGTAAGAAAGACCTCAAAATTGTACATAATGATGAAAAAAAATTTCGATTTGGATTTTTTTTTTGTTTTTTGCGTTTTTTGAAAACATTTGCCACAGTAATGTATATTTTTTTTACACTATCGGAAAGTAGAGATTTCAACAAACAAAAAGCCCACCGGCTTTTTTAAAAAAGTGTTTTTTGACGCCTGAATTTTCGATTGAAAATTAGGGTGCTTTTTCGATATTAAATCAATATAAGAAAAAAAAAAGGAATTTCTT